GAGGTTGTAGGGTCGAAACGTATAGAAATAATAGAATCAGAATACGAAGACATAGAAGAACAAGATGGATTTCGTGCAGGAAGATAGTGCACTGATGGTATGGTGGAATGATGAGGAATACATAGACTACATGTTTAGAAAACTAAAGAAAGCATGTAAAAAATAGGGTCTTAATATGAATATGTCAAAGACAGAGTATCTTAAAATAGGAAATGATGAAGAAGATCCAGAGTTAGAAATTAGAAACACAAAAACATGCAATGAATATATATCTTGGATCTATATTATCTAAAGAAGGCACTACCAAAAGAGACATCGAAAACAGAAAGCAACAGGGAAAAAAACGGTAAGCATTCTAAACTCTCTACTATGGTCTAAAGATATTAGACAAGAAACGAAATTGACAATCTATCGAACCTTGGTAGAGCCTATTATGACTTATGGGGCAGAAGTTTGGCAGATCACGAAAAAAGATAGAAAAAGAATAGAAGTAGTAGAAATGGATTTTCTAAGGGGAGTGTGTGGTGTATCAAAAAAAAAAAAAATTATATCAGGAATAAAGATATTAGAAGAAGGACAAATACTGTATATCCCAGTGTAGACAGAATTGAAACGAGACAACTAGTGTGGTATGGTCACGTGAAGCGAATAAATGAAAATAAATGGCCAAAGAAAGCTTTAAATTAAATACCACAATAAAGAAGAAGAAGGGGAAGGCCTTCAGTTGCCTGGGAAGAAAATGTACGGCACATAATGAGAGATAGAGCCATCAAATACCACGAATGAATCGACAGAACATGATGGCGGTCGAAATGCGAGAAGCGATAGAGGCTATAGGAACCTCGCTTATATATATATATATATATATATATATATATATATATTATATATATATATATGATGTACAAATATCTATAAATGGGTACACTTTATTCTTCTCTGCACTATCTTCATTTTAAACTTACCTTCTTCTATTAAAAGCAATTATTAATAGTCAATTCTAACTTATGAATCTTAATATTTCCAGTGGTGTCCATTAGTTGTTCTCACTCTATGTCAGAGTTTGGTATGTAGACTACACTGCACGTTTTACACTGACACTAGCACTTTACATCACAAACCCGATTGGCAACTTCTTTTAGAGTTCTCTCTGGATATTTATGTTATAAAGATTTGCAATCTTTAAGTCGATTTATTCTATGATAGTGGTCAATTTCAAGTTTAAACAAACTCATTGATGATCTTTTTGAATCATAGATTCAGACTCGCTGTAGGACTTGTTTATATAAAAAATTTTGACTTTTCTCTTACGATCCACTTTAATTTTGAAATTTAAAGTCTTTACCGATTCTTTTGGATCTGTCCATTTTATTAAAGTAGTTTCTCGAAGTTCGTTGCTAGATATGAAGTTGAATTGAGATACGGAATTGCACTATTTATTATTCTACTTCTGTTCGTTCGGTTTAGATATGGGCGGAATAGTAATTCATATATTTAGTATAATTAATCTTTAACCTCTTTTCGGAAGCCGTGTGTTATAAGCCGGTCTTACTGCAGCCAATTGGCCTTGGTACCATATTGCCGAACCTTGTTACCATATGTATTTGGAGTCTTCAAAAAGGGTTTACCATCTGCGATCTAATTGCTCGAAGGCATGCAAGATATGGTTTACTGTTTTAGGTTCTTTGCTACAGAGTCTGCAGCTCAAGTCTCCATAAAACAGTGTCATTGCATGCAAGTGTCTCTTGACTGGCGCGTGTCCGTGTCCAGTAAAGAAGCCTCTTTTGCAATGTGCTTAACCACGCATAATTTCTTAGTGAGTTATGTTAGGTATGGATCCAAGATGTCACGTCATTTAACGTGGTAAGTACACTAACAACAAGCGTTATAATTAAAGGATTTCACAGCCAACTCTCATCACGATTTTTTTCGACTGCTATATATTATAATAACTTTATTTAAAAAGCATTGCTTTATCGCTTTTTTTCATTTAAGCCAATTTCAAGGTATATGTTCAAACTAAATTTGGGTAATTTAAAATTATTGAATATTGGCACAGTTATAACCGTTTTGAAACATCTTTCCATAAATGGTTATTTGCTTGAATTACTATTATATCATATAATATTTATTATAACTACAGAACATATTTATTGTATGTATGCTGCAAGCAGCAAACGTTATCATATGAGCTACACAAGCTCAACAGCCATCTATCGGTTCAAAATATGTAATCATGAATATTATGCTACGGTACAATCGCAGCCAGTAAGCAGCATTTAAGCGACGGATTAAACTGCCCAAAAAAGCACTGCTATTTGTCACAGTGATAATTAATTAGCAACTACATTGTCATTGATATTTACTAGCCCATTTCTAGTAATTATCTCTATATATTTAATTCTTTATTTTGTTTTAACAAAAATTTATATTGTGCATTCCAATTAAAACGAGATTAGATAATATTAGGCATATAAAAAATTGCGAAACATAACCACATTGGTTATGAGGGGGACACATTACTTGTAAGTCAATCATATGTCAAAAACATTGTTTGAAAGGGTTTTCGAGATTTAACCGTGTGAAATTTTTTACACTAAAACAATACGTGGACTAAGGAATCAACCAATAAGGATGTATGATACCCAGTTAAGTGACAATCATATTATTCATGTTGGTAACAAGATGGCATGACAGGAGGTGAGAGGGACAGATTATTAGGTTAGACAATGTTGTGAAGTTGGGTTACTGGCATGTTAAGTTAATATACTTGTTTCTTATACATATATAATATAGTATTTGTTTTATTTATTACACCTTCCATCAGGCTTAAACAAAGGAAAAAATAAACTGTTTTTTAAATTTTTAATAAAACCCTAACTTGAACGGAATAAAAATAAAGAAATTGAAATGAAAAATATATATTCAAAACAAACTCGAACTACTTAACAACACCTACAAAGCACTAAGGAAAAAGTTACACAATTGATAAATATGATAAAGCAACAATCATGGAAATATTTTTTGAGACAATGGAAAGGAGAGAAAAGGTAACACAATACAAATGCAGAAATATAAACTGTACAGATGGCGAAATAATAATTTGAGGAGTTATTAAAGCCTGAATTTAACAAACCACCATACCATACCAACCAAATGGAGAGGGCAAGTCAGCAATAAGAAAACAGGATAAAATGAAAGAAGCAGCGCTCATTTTACTAAATGACGAAACCTGTGTAGCAAAAACCAATATTATGTAGCAAAATATGGTGATAAAACAACACTTGTCATAATTTCACTCAAAATGGCTAATGCCTATAAGACGAGGCCAAGTAATTCAACTGTCAAATTGGTCACCACCTAGCACCAATTTGTTAACATTTACATGTTATTTTTTTGATAACTTTTATGTTAAAGATTTTTTTAAACGATTTCCGAATTGGAAATTTAAACGTCAAAACAAATATAAAATGTAATTCTCATTACAATAAATTGGGTTTAATCGCATATAAAATATTATTTAACTTAAAAATGCCACAAGCAAAGTTTAAGAATATTCAGAATAATTCATATTTCGAAATATTCCCTTGTCGACTAATTCATAAATGTGTCTTCTTTGCAAGTTGTAGAAAAAGCGGTGGTAAAAATTTGAATTTAGTTTCCCGAGTAGGAAATCTGATGATTTCTATTTCCTACGATGGCGTTGTACCATCTGTAAATAATTATTTGTGTAATTATTATACTATGACGGGAGTGATTTAATTTCGTTTAAGAGCCTCTGCATATGCCGCTCTGACGATGGTTGAAATACGTAGAAGCCGATGGTAGATGCCCTGTATTGAAATTAAATCTAAAACCGTCTTTATGAACTAAAAAATGGTTTGGAGTTTGAAGGCAGGCAGTCATTAAAGTCTTCTCATGGCCTTCGAAAAGTCTAGACAATGTTATTGAGAAATAGTGGCATAAGATGAAACAGAAATTGCATAATGATCCCCAGAGAACCAACTTCGACTTTACGATACGAACTAACTACATCGGTATTTACAGAAACTGACCTTCACAACTGGTCTTCATCCTATGGAAAATTTACCTCTTTTGTAGCGTAAAACCTAAAATTTTCACGATCGCATACGCAGAAAATTTATTGCCAAGGGTATTAAGCATATTTTCGTAAATATGCTTACCTCTTAATCCCTTCAACAACAAGTAATTGAGATGGTTTTACGCTCCAATTTTTCAATTGTGACATTTTTGGTAAACATCGTTTATTTTTTCAAATTTTATTGCGCAACTCTGGTTTGGCTGATTCACGTGAAACTTTGCATTGACATTTCTAAAACTTTATTCTTCTACAGTCTTTATTGCCATAGCAATGTAATATTTTCTTTATCTACGAAAGCAGTCTAGCCTAAATAATTAAAAACTAATTTATTTTTTTTTATAATCTATCGTTTTAGTGTTAAAAATGCTATGACTTGAATAGAAAATAGAAATACTTTCAAATATGAAATAACTCACTACCACCTTCTTTTGAAGTGCTTGACGTGAGCCATGACATAAGTATTTGACATTCGTAATTATCGACATTTATCCCCTGAAAAATCAATGTGTTTCGCAATTATTTTACAGTTTAATACCATCTAATCTATTCAGGATTACTCGTTTTAATTAGAATGATATGAGTGTCTAGCATACCGTGTTTAAGGTAATATTTAATGTTTTACCAACGTGGAAGCAAACATTAAGCATATAAAAAGAAACGTTGTGAGTGATTTAGCATTTATTTATAACATTCGAAACCTAAAGAAGCTTTTAAAACTTAAAACATTATCTTAACTATTGCAGGTATTTTCAAGCGTGCATGATAATTAAAAGAAACCGCATTCCTGTTTGACACGTACCCAGCTAAGGCATGCATTATAATACACAAAGTAACAAAACATACATATGTAAAGATAACTAAGATCAAAAATAATTATTATAAGTAAGTATTTCAATACCCGTCGGCGCTGATAATACTAGAAGACATCTCGCTGCTGCTGCATTTCGATGTGCTTTCAGAGTAACCGGGCGAAGATGGCCCACTGCTTGACATAAGACTGGGAGGTCCACTCCAACCCACACCTGGAACGTTTTAAGTAGAATTAATTTAAAAGAAAGACAGTTAATTGATTTCACTTATACAGTGCGTCAAGTTTTGGATTAGGTTATACACTCTATAAATGGCAACACTGCGCGTCGTCAACTTGCACTACATATCTGCTTCGTTGACTCTTCGTTTCACGTCGCCCGTAGGCAAATTTGTCATATTGTCATTATACCGTGGTTGTTTAAAGGTATAACAGCGTAGAGTTTTAATTTATTTTGTAAACATGTCTGTTTATATGGCCGCGGAAAAAGCTCAAATAATAAAATGGTTTTATAGTGGCAATTCTGCGCAACAGTGTGTAGATTTATTTTCTGTGTTTTTTGAGGGAAGACCAATTCCTTGTGTACAGTCAATTTATAATATTGTTAAAAATTTTGAGAGTTGTTATTGCCTCAAAAATTGCAGAAAATGTCACGCTCGAGAAGTGTTACCAGAAAAAGTTGAGGAAAGAGAATACCGGGATACACAAATTTGTGCAACAATCGAGGTAGATTCAACACGTTCAAGTAGAAGCGTTGCTAGAGAGTTAGATGTTAGCAATGTTACTGTAACGAAAGTATGGAAAAAGCACGGTTACAAGAATTTTAAATATTCGAAAACGCAGCAGCTTTATCCAGACGATTACTTTCGAAGAATGGAGTTTTGTGAAACTCTAATAACGAAGGCTAATAGTGAACCAAATTTTATTAAAAACATTTTATTCACTGATGAATCTTCTGTTTCGTTAGTAGGGAGACACAATCCTTCCATTACGAGGTATTGGGCGCGGGAAAACCAGCACAGAAGTGTTGTTTACCGAACTCAACGTCCTCAAAAAGTTAACGTCTGGACTGGCATTTTAGGAGACCACATAATAGGTCCATTTTTTATTGAGGGCAACTTGAATAGTATAGTATACCTCGATTTGTTACAGAATCATGTTCTTCCCGCTATTCTCAATCTTCCTGATGTAAATCTGGAGAATGTTTGGTTTCATCAAGACGGCTGTTCAGTTCACAACGCTCGAATTATTAGGGAGTATTTAAACAATACTTTCCCGAATCGAGTTATCAGTGGAACAGGCGATATTAAGTGGCCTGCGCGATCTCCAGATCTTACACCCATGGACTTCTTTTTTTGGGGACATTTAAAAAGCATTATCTACGCTCATCCTGAGGCTAGAGCCCAAAATTTGGATGAATTAAAAAATCGAATAAGAGAAGTCTCCAATTCTGTTACAGCAGAAACTCTTTCATCTGTTCGCAGAAGTTTTTATGACAGATTGGGGTACTGTTCAGCCGTAGAAGGTCAACTATTTGAACCATTTCTGTAGGTCATAAAGAATTATTTTTTATTTTATTAGGAATAATATTTTAATTTTCAATAAGAGTATATTTTTTATTTTATCTTTTTAAAGAAATACGCTTTTATTTTTAATTCAACCACAAAAAAATTTTCACATTAATAAAAATCGATAACAATGCACCGATTAGGTGAGTGCATTTTTATCGAATTTCCTACTATTAAAATCGGCTTTACGTAATGAAACATGAGATCGGACGACAGAGAAGTACATCCCTAACGTTGTTGTGAGTTACTAAACTAAAATAAATGATTTTCTGTCGGTGTAGATTTTCGGGTCGGAGAACGAACATTTGCAACGTTGCCGATTTTAGCGCTCCGTATAGTGTGCAATACCTAATCAAAAACTTAACGCACTGTAGTACCTCTGTATATTCGCTTATATGTATTTCATCCTAACATGAATCATCAGAGCGACTGTTACAGAAGCTCTGAACGTGAAAACAATTATTTTCGTCGAAAAGAAGCAACAATAAAATGGCGTCAGTATAGACGCTATAGCGACATCTGAAAATAAATCGCGAAAGTAGAAATCAGAAGATTTCTGCGGACGAAACCAAAATTCAGATTTTTGCTTTAATCTGTGCCTTCTAAGAATTGCAAGCCCAAACAGACGATGCTAAACGATAGAAGAGATATGGAGCATCTAAAAGTTGCATTCCACAACATATCTCCTCAACTAAGCAAAAATCCTTGGCGAATCGGCTTCTAGTACTCATAAAGAGTATATCGAAATAACTGTCCTTCTTTTATTTTTCTTCTTTCTGCCGTCTTTGAATCTTGCAATAAGTACAGCTCACTTTCATTTTAGTGTCGTTGAATTATGTCTTCTATTATATTTTTGCTACTTGCCCGATTTTTATGTGACTTTGGGTCCGAATTCCAAGCATAGCTCTGTCTCCATTTTTCTTTGTGTACCACATTCTTTGTCAGTTTAAGTGTTTCGGCACCAGAAGACATTGGTGACGATACGCATTTGTTGGCATGTGGCTTTTAAAAAAATTCCTCAATCTTCTATATGCGGCTCAATTTAAACTAATTCTTCTTTGGAGTTCCTGTGATTGATTAGCTCTATTTATATTCAAATTTCGTGTCCAGGATACAATATTGTTTTTAATTAAATTTTATATAAAATATTAACATTCACAAACGTTTGTATGTTGCAAACATGACAAGAACATCGAACATATAATGAAACTGTTTCGTTTGGGGTTGACTTCAACATATTAAATTTCTCCGCAAACTTGTCAGTATTGTTCCAAACTTTTACAGAAATAAATACATTTTAATACACATCACTCAAAATATAAAGATTAATTCTCCTCGACCGTAATAATACTACTACTTACTGTTGCTGGGAGACTGTAATTTCAAAGGGCGTGACTTGTCCAATGATAGTCCGCATGCTAATATATTGCCATTTGTTGGCGTTGGCAAAGGAGTTGACGGATATTTTGGTGGTGTCGACGATGGAGTTCTAAAGATAGGAGCAGTAGTCATTCTATCCAAAAAAGCATCTAACTGTTTTAAAGATAGTGCATTATGTAGGGTCTCTAAAGGTCTTATAGAAGGTACACCACCAAAACCTTCGATGGCTAAAAATAGAAAACACAAATTAGTGACAAACATATATTTAAATACAAAGCAGCTTTTACATGGTCAATATTTTGCTATTCAAACAGGTACCTACAATATTATTTATTGTATATTTTTCATTCATTCGTGTAAATCTAGGAATATATCAAAAGGGAGCATTAATTAACTTGATATAATAACGTAAGAAATATAAAATACATATCATAGCAATACAAGAAACATATTTGATTCTAAACAACATTGAAAAGATTAGTCCATACACGTTTTATACAAGTGGAGGCGATAATGGGAATTTTGGAGTGGGTTTCTGGTACATGAAGACGTGAAGCAGGTAAAACGATTTGTAACAAAATCTGACAGAATGTAAACAATTAGAATTAAAGGAAAAGATAATCAATTACTATTTAACTGGGAATAAGCCACAATTAAAGGTTAAAATACGTTTATTGACGTTTCAATTTCCACTTCGGAAATCGTTCTCAAAATACAAACAGTATACAATTTACTGTCTACTGTTACACCAATACAAAAATAAGAGTATACAAAATTATAATTAGACCCACAATGCTATACGCTGCCGACATATGGTTTATGAACAAAACCATACAAAACAATTTGGAAGCATGGGAAAGATACTTCGCAGATTGTTTGGTAAAAAAGTAGTAGAGGGAGAATAGGTAAAGGCGAACTAATGTAGAAGTGTACCGATTGTATGCTAACCCTAGATTAACAAAAGTAGTGAAAAAAACGTAGAATAGAATAACTCGAACATCAAGAAAGAATGCAAGATAATAGACAAGTCAAGAATATTTGTTCTAGAGTAGGTACCTGAGGGCAAAAAAAAGAGAGGAAGGCCAAGAAAGAAATGGAGGGATGTAGTGATGGAAGATGTCAGAGAGATGGGAATAAGAGATTAGAAGCTGACAGCTAAGAACAGAAAAGATGGTAATTATCCATCCAGCAATGTGCCTAAAAGGCTTGTTAACGCTATACATATATGCAATATTTGTTGTTAACAATAACTGTAATTAGTTTTAGTTTAAATAAAATGATTTGCTATTAACACAGTCCACCATGTCAAGTGTCCACCATATATAGTCCAATTGATCCAAATTAGTGTGAATTAAGAGCAGAATTAGTTTATGAAGATTACTGATTTAGTGGAGTTATATCTACGCCGCCGAAGATGATGATTTAAATGTGAGAATTTTCCATTTGTTTACTTAATTCCATCTATTTTACCTTATTTTTCTTCATAATTATTTAACATTTGAACAAACTGGTAATAAATTATTAGATTAAAAACTAAAAAAAAAAAAAAAAATAATTTACTAAACCTGTTTCCATGAATTAATAATTGATTCATAATAAACTATAAATTTGTTACGATGTTTATCTTTCTAGTTTTGCATATTTGCTATGTGCAAGTTCTGAAGAACGACATCTAGTGGCATAATTCAGCGAAAGTGTTAGCACTATTAATATTTTAGTCTTATATTAGCTGCATATAAAGTGACTTATACTTGTTTATTTAGTACAATAATTATTGTAATATAGCTTTAATTTTGGCTATCACCAGATGGGATGTAAGGGCCTAGCAAAGTATGGCCACTTATCCTCTCCTACGGTGCCTTACAGATTCGATGTGCCCTAGGCGCATCTTCCATCTTTGGTGGATAGGCGACATTTCTCACATGGAAAATAAATTAAACACAGTTTAGAAGGTGGAAAAGGTTCAGCCACAAAGTCTAAAGTTCGGAGAACCGGAGCAGAGCCCCGACATCTGACTCCCAGAATACAGGAGACCCTATCTGGGAGCCGAATCCAGAAAGTCGAAAAATGTCGCATAGTTATATGTTTCTATATAGCATTTTCAGATCACTCGGCCAATAGAAAAAATCGTATTATTCCCTAACTAAGCCCCTGGTGACATAGCAAACCATGTTAAGAATGTAGAAGAATTAGAGAAAAATGAACAAAGCTATTTAATTTAAGCAAGTGTTATTAGACAAACTTCAGTCACTTCTGAGCCATATGATGCAAAAACTATGTTTTTTTGTTACGCCATGTTGAGCCATTTATTAAATGTTCTATAATTTTTCAAATACTTGTCCAATTACAGTATTTAATGGTTTATTTCTTTTTTTTTTTGATTGATGACAAAAGAATGATTACAGATGTCTAGCAGTAGTGTGTACAATAAAAGTAAAAAGTGTAAGCATGTTGCTTCTGTTATTTATTCTGTAAATCACGAAGAAATTCTATCGAATTTGGGATATGTTACTTACATCTGCTTTATTATGATACAAATCCACTTTTCTCGTTGCAATAATTTGTGTTTACAAGTTGGAAACCGATAGAACTTGAATTTACTATTTTTTGTTGAATTTTTAAAATTTATAATACACCATTTGCGAAATTCCATTTTATTCAATAACTACTTATGAAATATGCTAACAAAGTTGCAAGATTTCACCGCTGCACGCCCACTACTGTTTCTTGTATCCCCTCTAAGTACTTGCACACTGCGAATAGTCGCTTAGAGGGCGCCACAAGTAAAACCTTCCGACACAAATGTAACATCAATCTTTTGTTGACATAAATCGAGAGTTTCATTGCGATACAAATCGGGTAAATACAGTGGATTTTTTAAATTAGCAAGTCGATAGAAAAATGGATCTTAGCCGACAAAATTTTCGAGCAATAACTTTTTACAAATATCGAAAAGGATTATCCCAAGAGCAATGTATCGCTGAAATCGTTTCTGTGTTTGAGAATGAATCATCATACCAGTCAACTATGTTCAACGTGGTCGCTTCACCGCCGTATCACATAACGGAAGATAGAGGCATCATTGGGTATTTCAAGGACCAACAAAATTTCAAAAAACCAACAAAAGTAATCTGTTCTTGAAGTGTGTCAAAAAAAAAACAGGTTGCAACTTTTGTGTCAAAATCTGGTCATGTGGCAAAAAGGCGAAAAAACTCGCGAAACTCCGTCAAAGTAACAGACAACTGCGAATCAAGTTTTTGGAGTTTCAAAACATCGAATTGTTAAACCGTTCACTTTATAGCCCCGACTTAAGTCCCAACGACTTCTTCACGTTCCCAAAGATCAAGAATTCAATGTGTGAGCAGCGATTCCAGTAGCTAGAAGAAGCCATTGATGCCTCTAACACAGCGATTTTGCAGGTGTCAATTGAAGACTGGAATAACTGTTTTACCAATTGGTTTGAACATATGCAAAAGTGTATCGATCTTGGTGGAACATATTTTGAAAAGCAATAAAGTACTTTAAGTCTATACATTTCTTGTCTTCAAGGCTATGTGCAAAACTAAAAAGACTATTTACGTATTAGATTTTTATATATATTTATTTACATTATTTTCGGTTAGTAACAACAATTTATTTGATATTGAGTTTATTTATGTACTATATATTTGATAAAGTGATTTGATTTGATTAATAAAGTCCATTATGACAAGTATCCACCAACCTGTATAACAAAAACCAGCCTCTATTATCCTTTAGCAATATCAGGTTAATTATGAGGCATACTGTATAAACCCGCACGGCTACATGCGTACGTTACATGCTTTGACTTTTATGAGAACTCCATACCCAGAGATTTCAAAATCGAATAAAAGTGAAATGACAAATTATTGTGATCTGGTTTATAAAAAAGTATGTTAAGTGCGGGGAGATTTACGTTTATATTTATTCGTTTCATTGTTTATTAGCCATTTTAAATAAATATACTATAATACTGCTTACCTGTTGCATTTGATGAGCTGGTAATCATATCCCTGAGATTCGGCGCACTGGAACTACCAGAAATGACTGCAGTTGAAAACAAGGAGTTGGCACTTCCGCTGACGAGCTTCTTCAAACCTAAGGGGCCTCCGCAACCGAACCCTAACATCTTGTAATAGCTCATCTGTCCGACAACGCTGTGTCGATGGCGTTTGACGACGTTGAGGCTGCAGTCTGCGTTGGACATGCAAGGAGTCACACAAGGAACGGGATGAGATAGTGATCGATAGGTGTTTGGCCTCGTAGGGGGCGAGGTGAAGAACGACAAGAGATGAGATGTGGTGCGGGGATTTACACAAAGCAAACATGTATTTTCGGAATCATGCTTGGGATAGAAACTGAAGGGTGTACAAGGATCGTGTTCGGGTGGTGATAGGTTAGAAGTGAGTTGTTCCTTCACTAAACTTTCTCGATACTTTTTCATCAAAAAGTTTTTATCTGAATGACTAATCCACTCACCGTCCAATACGTTTGGATCAGAAAAAGATCTATGCCGTTCAATTTTACACTTCTCGTCTATTTCTTTTACATTCGTATTCCAATTTGCTTCTATAGATAGATCATCGTTTTGGCTCTCAAGAGTATTTTGTCTTGAAACCAAGCACGATCTAGAAAATTTCAGCGCAGATAAAGGCAATTCATTGGTGCTCATTGCACAAGAATGTTTATGGTCTAAATTAGAAGTGAATAATGCCAGATTGAGTTCGGTGAGTGGTAGTTCATTAGTAGAACTTGGCGATTTAAATTTCAGTCCTAATGCATTTTTAACTTTATCGTCAGTACACCCATCACCAATATTTTGGTCACTTGGCTCAGAACTTAATTCGGACAAAACAACATTCTTATTTTGTTCGTTCAACAAGTGTACATCACAAGCGCCAATAGTTTTCCTTCGTTTATCTACAGGTCGAGTTGTGTTAGTGGGAAGTATGTCTGGATCAGTGTTTTAAGATAAATAAAATAAAAATAAATATTAGTTTGAAATGCATATTGCAAGTTAACAAACACAGACCAGGGAAACCAGCAGGGCAAAAAGAGGAAACAAAAAATTACTATCAGTACATGTTGACAGCAAAGTAAGAATATTTAGTGCAACTTGTTTTATTTCTAAGCTAATATACGGTTTTCATCTAATGAAAAATGTTAAATTTTGGTAAAAAATTTATATCAAAAATCTCATTTAATTCCAATTTAAATTAAATATAGTAAGGTCTTCATTGATTTTTGAGATTATTGACAAGTATATTGTCTAAATCCTCTAATTTTAAAAATCTATTATATACCTAATTAGGCTCAATTTTCCTATTACAATATATAGGGATTACTTTTGCTTTCCTTCTATTTATTTTCACTTTTTTAAGATTTCGTCACAATTTTGTTTATTTATGTGTGTACTGTTTTCAACGGTCGGCAGTGTCAATTATATAATTGTTGCTTGTGGATACATAATTGTATTTTCAAGTTTTCTAATATGCGTATCTTGGTAATTATGTGTTTAGTTTTTGTATTAAAAGAAAACAATACAACACTCCTGTCCTAGGTATTTCCAATAATCGATTTTACACACTTCACACTGATGTGACTTGGTTTAATGACAGTGTTTAAAGTGACACTTATCATACAAGTTCGAACGGTTTGGTACATTTGAGCCAGCGGACTAGGTCTTGATTTAGCTAACAGTTCAAGCACTTCACTGTTTATATCATTATGAAGTTAATCTTTGTGGCCCTTGGCAATGTTCTTTATTTATTCTTTAATTGTTTCCATGTGAAGTTCCCGATGTTGATAACTACATCATTACAGTAATGTAGTACAGAACCATATTTATAGACCATAGGTACTGGTTGAATTATTTATTTGTATACTAATATCTTGGTTTTTGAAAATAGTGAGTTTCTTCCTAATAGCCAATGTACCTTTTTATTTCAGTTTCAGTTCCCAGTTTTCTTTTTAATAGGTTTCTGCTATTTCATTTTAATATCCATACGTAGCCTTAGATTCTGTTTTCTTGTAAGAGACAATTGTATTGTTTACTAAACCTGAGCAATTTTTATTTTAAGTTTAATTATTTATTTTGTTCACTGCTTCTTAAAAGTGTCTCTTCGAATGATCGTTAGTATCGGCTGCAAATTTGGCCAGGTTAAGATTGTCCGTAACATGAATGTCTTGAGTATACTATAATAAATATAATGAAAGATTTGGTCCCAGAACACTGCTCTATGCTATGAGTGTATTATCTGAACGTAGTGTGTGGGTAACTATCTTTTGAGTTTTAGTCAAGTATTTGTCATGTGTCAGATGATCAAATATCTTTCAGATCTGTTTATTACACTCTTATTTTCTGCATTTCTAGTTTTTCGCCACCTTTTCTGGCTTCTCGCTTTGTTTGTACTAATTTCCGAATTTCTTTGGAGCCGTTTTAATCTATGGGTTTTCTTATAATTTGTTTGGTATAGTTCCAAGCTGCTTATTGTATGTTTGCAATTGATTTCCCTACTTCCTCGTCAAGTGGTTATCTTCTAAATGTTATAGAATTAGAGGGTGATCAGAGTTAGAACCATCAGCTTCTTGTCTTTTATAAAATTTGCTGCAGCTTTTCTTGAAATAATAAAAGTCAATCAAATCTGGTGTTTTGTTTTTGTCGGTGAGCCAATATGTGAGTTTTCCGGTTGAGTGTCATTTAACACCTATATTTTCTATTGCTGCAGTTCTCAGTAAATTCTCTTACCTTTTAGATTGGTTAGCTTTGAACCCCAAACAATGTTTTAGCGCTAAAATCTACTCCAGTGATTAATTTTTCTTCAAGGGTATTAAAGAACTGGACGTAATTTTTTTTTTTAACATTGGTTTGGTGAAAAATATGTAGCTGCTATTGGGACATTATATTTTTGTTTTGACACTTATACTAGCTGCCTGGATAGCTCCAGTCTCATATTTTGCCTTTTAAAGTGAGTTAGGATATTTTTTACTATTACTACTGCTCTTCCATTGGCTGTGTTCCTAGGGTAAAGAGCTTGATATATTTGATATCCTTTTATATTGATGTATGTATGTTTTATAAAATAAGTCTCTAATATTACACACAAATCGCTTTTTTGGTTGTTTAAGCTTAACAGTATTTCTTGCCAATGCCGTAATATGCCCTTTGCATTCCATTGTAATATTCTTAACTATAAACTTCTATGCTATTTAGTGTCTCTAGGACTCTTGTTCATGACTCATATTTGGACATATGTCTGTTTTTGCTTTACGTTTACTGGTTGGTTTTATGTAGAATTTATTTTGGTGAGGTTATAGGTTTCTTTTGTTCTTTCATTTTGAAAGAGTTATAGCGGTGATGCAACCTCCGTAAATAGCTGGGTCTATACATTTAGTTTTTTTTTTACTTCATGGCTTTTCGCCATCGTTGTTAGATATTTCCCGATAAATATTACCAATCTCGATCCCCGTTTAATATAATTTGGGGTATATCCTTACTATTGACATCCTGTGAAATCAGTTTCAGTTTTCTAAAACCTTCTATGGTCGCTTTCATAGATTCAATGTCTTTGATTTCATATAGTTGTTTTTTTCTCTTTAGTACAAGTGAATGCAAAAAGTTTAGTAACTTAATCTCATAGTTTACTAGAAGATCAAGTTCATAGATCACTTACATCCCTGGCATAATCGTCATCTAAACCTATTTCCCTGATGTTTCTGCTTATATACTTCTTATATCTTATTCATGTTGCTTCCCTATTTTTATCAGATGGCCTTTATTGACTAACTTTGGTCCAATACAACTGGCGATGATTCTCTGTACAATTAGAACAAGATTTGAACCGATAAATTCTGTCAAATTTTGACCAACTGGCCTCTTTCGATTAGTAACATCGATCGGTTCTAATATTTTTCATCTTTTCTTTGCTGTTGTCCTTCTTGTAATAATTTATGTGTCTAAGACATTAAATATACCATTGTAGATTCTATGTCTTTTCTAGTTATACATTTCTTTTGAAAAGACTGGGATTTTTATAGACTATCGTTAGTATTTATTCCCTTATTGCTTCATTACGTTGATAATGACGTGCTTCATACACTTTCGACTTTTTTGTGTTAATTTGGACGAAAATGTTTTCTTCAAAATTGTGAATAAGTAAAATAGAATGAAAGAAACCACTTGCTCATCCTATTTTTTGTATAATGTATAAAACATCATAACTTCTAAATTCTATTAGGTTTCTAGCAACCCGTTGCCATCTACCGGTCTCAACTACATCTAACCACCTGATTCACGGTCGGACTCTGACTGATGTATTTTGTAAAAGCACTTGATCAATATATTTTCGATCAATCTTCATCACTTTCAATAAATCTCGTTATTTTAATTGCTCGATGCATTTAATTTACTCATCAATTTATCCGATGCTACCGGATATATTCTGATAATAATGTAATTTTCAAACGTTGTATAACCAACAGTTATAGGACAAAGGGTACCAAGAAATAGTACCCTAACGAAATTTTGTACCAAATAAAAACATTTTTCATGTAGATATATAAAAAAAGGTGTACCAATTTATATTTTCACTTTGTACCTTCGGGAAAATTCCCAATTGAGTAGTGTCTGCAATAATAATGTCGTAAGCTGGTGATTTCAATTTATATTTTGTCATCGGCATTGAGCATCTTGTTATCTTTATATACAGTATCTATTCACACTTGATGCTTCATAAATATAGCACTTAGATACAGTTTTCAATGTTCCAGATTCCGCTAACCACCACACTAATTTCATTTGCCCATTTACTATAATAAACCCATCAAATATTTTCGTCAAATTGGATTCAGTGTGTAAACAAGATTTGAAGTCAAATTTTTTTAGCTTCTTCCTATAAATATCTTCATTGAATTGGATCTGAGATTTTGGAACAAAAAACTACAAAAAGTTACAGAAAAGAAACAAAAGGCTTATATATATTTCCTGTAGATAAATTCATAAAAATATTAAAACGTATACATCCAAAACATAAATTGTGCTAGACAACTAACACAATAAGTTTATCAAGGATCCTGGAATGAATTTATTTCTGCTATCGAACATGATATGAAAGGACGAGATAAAAATGTGCATCAAAACTAAACATAATCAAAGAGCACCAGTAGATAAATTATTACAAAAAACTCTGGCTAAA